ATCCATTTTGAATCTCTTGAATATTTCTTTGACATACTTCCTTTGATGTAACACCATACCTTGCTTCGACATCTGAAATCTCATACCTAAGAAATAAGACAATTTTCCCATATCAGACATTTCAAAATCCTTTATCATCAGCTCTTTGAACTTCGACAAGTTCTTCAAGCTATTTCTAGTTACTAGCAAGTCATCGACATATAAGCAGATGATTGTTATATCTTGTGCTATAACCTCAACATAGACACCATACTCATTTTTTCATTTGACAAATCCCAATTCGACTAAGCATGAGTCGATCTTCTTTTTCCATGCCCTAGGTGTCTACTTGAGGCCTTAGAGCGCTTTGTGAAACCTATATACTTCACTCGCTTCCTTCTGAATCAAAAACCCTGGAGGTTGTGTTACATAGACCTCTTCGTATAAAGGACCATTTAGAAATACTAATTTTACATCTAAATGAAATTTCGACTAGCCTTGGTTGCATGCCAATGCTACAACTAGTTGAACAGACTCCAATCTTACTACTGGAGAAAATACTTCAGAGTAGTCGAGTCCTTCTCTTTGAAGAAAACCTCGAGCTACTAATCTTGCTTTATGTCTTTCTATCAAGCCATCAACATTATATTTCAACTTGAATACCCATTTTACTTTGATATATTTTGTATGTGTTGGCAATTCGACTAACTCCCATGTGTTGTTTCTTTTGATTGCCTATAGCTCTTCGACCATAACTAACTTCCATTATTTAGTCTTCAAATATTTGTTATAGTTAATTGGTTCAGCACCTGCAAGTAAAGAAAAATGAACTAATTCTCCATCTGGTGTGACTTCATCATTAACCACCACTTCATAATCATGAAGTCTTGTTGGAAGAACTTTATTTCTTTGAGGTCTTTGGCTTGTCTTAGCCACAACCTCTTCGACTACGACTGTGTCGGGAATGTCAGCAACTGCTTCTTCTTCAACTTCCATAGCCTCTTCGATTTCGTCTGTGTCGGGAATATCAGTAATTGCTTCTTCTTCGACTTCGTCAAAATCTACCAACCACTCCTTTCGACTAGTCATGTGGTTTGAGCAGTATGAGTCGAGAAACCAGATTCTAGATTCGACATGGTTATCTGCAACTGCAACCATAACCATCATACCACCTTCAGAATCATCTGAATCTTGGCGTGCAAGGTTCGCTCCTTCGTCATTGCTTGTCAATCCCTTGTCTTTTCTGTACCAGTAATTCTTGGCTACGTGACCACACTTTTCACAGTTATAGCACTACACACCTTTTTTTTATCTTCCTTGTCCTTTCGATAGTTTCCTTCTCCTCCTTTAGAAGATTCAGAAGCTCAATCTTCGACCTGATGTTTGTGAGGTTTCGACCAAGACTTCTTGCCCTGAGTCTTGTCAAACTTGCCTTTGAATTTGTTGGAACCACCATCCTTTTTCATGACTGAGCTTGCAGAGCTTGTATCGATTCTTGCACTCCTTTCCTTTCGACAATCCTCATCTCATGCGCCTCCAACGAACCAACCAAATATTTCACTTTAGTGGTTTCAAGATTGTTGGATTCTTGAATAGATACGATAACTTAATCAAAGTGAGAGGTCAACGTTCTCATTACCTTCTCAACTATCATCTTATCAGTTATGGTTTCACCACAACCCTTCATAAGATGGACGAGTTTTTGAACCTTCGACACATATTCTTCAACTTTTTCATCTTCTCTCATCGACAACAACTCATATTGTCGACGCAAGGTTTGTAACTTGATAACCTTAACTTTCTCACCTCCTTTGTAATACTTCACCAGAATATCTGATACCTCATTCGTCGTTTCAGCATGAGAGATTCTGTCGAAATTAGCAGCATCGACCGCCGTCTGAATGCAATAAGCAGCCTTGCAATCTTTCATCTTGACTTTGTTATGGGCTTTTTTCTGTTCGCTAGTTGCATTTACAGCCAATGCAGGAACGCCGTCGGTAACCACTTCTAGGATTTCATGGAAGCCAAATAAAGATTGCATCTGTTTTTTCCATCGGATCCAATTCTTGCCGTCGAGCATTGGAAGAAAACTCTGAATGCCCTTATCACTAGCCATCTTCGCAGTGGTTGATTTACTTGCCCTAGAAACATGATCTCTGACGTAAAATTCTTGAAAACTCGATCAAGAACAATAATCAGAAGCTCTGGATACCAATTTGTTAGTACGTGAGGCACTTTAGTGAGGAAAGAAAGAGAAAATAATAAAAGAAATAAGAATTTATATTATTGAATTGTACAAATAATAATATAGACTATGACTATTTATATCAATCCTAATTAGATTTAAGTCTATACAACTTGAATTATATTTAAATATTAAATCTAATCAAATCAAATCTAATATAATATTTTAACAAATTTAATTTAATATTTCTAACACTCCCAACAATTAAGATATTATTAATCACAAAGTATGTATAATGTTTTGGGCATAAGGCATGTATATTTAAAACTAATTGGCCTTGCGTTTGTGTGTCATTTTAATTGAAATGCAATACTAATGTTTTAATTGTTTAAAACTTCTAGATTATTAAGTGAAAGGGAAAGGAGGGTGGCACATAAAAGTTGTCATTCTGTATAAAACTATTGTAATGGCATAAACTGCCCATATGGAAAATAACAAATTCAATGATTAAAGGTACAAAGTAATATTGTTTCATTTTGGTATTTTGTCAAACAGGTCTCATGTAATATTCAAGCTATCACAAATTGCATACACGGAAGTTGCAAGAATGACTCAAAAGTAAGCTAAAATATATTTATATGTAACAACAAAGGAAAAATTGACCAATCTAATAATTTTACAAAATAAAAAATTTCAAAAAAATGAACTATCAAAGTATTAACAAGAATCGGTAAGACGTAAGAGTATTGTCGACAACAATCAACATAATCAATGAAGACAATATATGTTATATTGGTTTGGACTCTTCGACGGAACAACTGAAATTGAAAACGAGAGAGAACGAAAAAGAAATTGAGAGAAGAGTTAACATGGATTTGTGAATGTTGTGAATAGCATCGAGATCGTCGTTGTAGGATTTTGAAGAAGACGAGAGTGAAAATATTGAGCAAAAAAGAGAAAGACCTAAGTAGTTGGCGATAAAATCTTCTACTTGACGATAATAGAAGAGTCTGGACAGCTGTTCGACCTGGTCTCCCCCACTAATAGCATGATATATGAAGTTGCACACAATTTTATAGCACAACTTTAGAGGTTTTATAATAGATCTTTAGGACAAGTATACAATATGTCACATGTTCAATAACACAATAGCACAGTATGTTGCACATAATGTGCGTATAATAAATGTTGTATATAACATAGTTCGTTATGCGTAAGCTTTATATGACAGAATGGCACATGTGTTTTATATTACAGAAAACTTCACAACATAAAATTACAAGAATATAACTAGGACAAAATGATTACATTTAGGATTACAATAAAAATTGTGTTGACAACACAAAATACCATAAACAAAGGATTGCAAAATTCCTAAACTCAGATACAAGAACAATAACTAACATTGATTCCAAATAACAGTACAATATCCTATTTTAAATGAATTGAGCTCCTAATAAGCTTTATCACTAACACTAAATTCAACGTTAAATATCATTGACATCTTTAATTATGTTCTTGTGTTAGCTAATTCGTTCTTCAATTTTAAAATTTTCTTCTTCTACTTTACAATATTTGAATCCCTTTCATCAACAATGTTGTCATCAAATCACTTGAAGAAATTATTACAATTCCAATTTTTTTACCAAAATTCATATTTGTAATGTCAGTCACGAATTGAAGAACACAATTCTCTTGATTATGACATTCTCTCCTCTTGTTTCTTCCTAGTACAAATCCAACATAACCAAAGTTTTGGTTGGTTTGCTACAAACTCCTGTTGGATCTTAAATTCTAGGACAAGTTGGACATGGAGATAAAGACTTACTGATCCTGCAATTTTATATATTGGGAAAGGGATGAAATTGAACACAAAGAGTTTGAGATAGTAAGATTTAATGAAGAAGATGAACTACGAAGCTTGGGTCAAATATGAGAAAGAAGATGAACAATGAAACTTGGGTGGAAGGAAGTAGAATGAAACTCGGGAAGAAGATAAACAAATTTGGAACAAATACGATGAACCCTGAATACTTGGGAAGAAGATGAGCAATAAATACTCTAATGATGTTGATGGAAGGAAGTTGATATACCCACTAATATAACGTCAAGTCAGCAAAACTTTACATTAAAAACTAATATAAATGGCTGTGCTGACTAATGGAAGACATCAACATAAAATAAAAAAATAAAATTAAAGATACACGAATCTGATTAAGCCAAAATTGTAAAGCACTAAACAGTGTTTGCTAAAATTAAGTTAAGGAATTTGATGAACAGTTTAGCCTTCATATATAAACTTCAAAGAACAAAATTATTTTTAAAAAATTACTTTTTAAAATAAAGTGATTTATTTAATCTGTAAATAAAGTGATTTTTAACAATTAATCAGTAACAAACAGGTGCAGCAATAAAGTAGAAGCTAAGTATTATTATTTTTATTATTTGTGCCAGTTAAAATATTTTGAAAATTGCTACGGTATAGAAGTTATTTGGTGTCAATATAACATAGCTCTTACTATTATTATATACGCATCTAACATCAACTTTTAGTATTGACAGTAAAATAACAAATGGCAAAGGATAAAGCAAAAATAAAGCAGAGACACTTAGACAGGATGGGTCAAAGTTTGAAGTCAGATAACAAATCTAAAAATGAGTCCGTATTGTTTGGCTTCATAAAACAGACACGATGAGTTGTGTTGTGACTTACATGTTTAATGCAACATGAAGTACTGAAGCCAAATCATCATCAAGTATTAACATGATGTATTTGAAGCCAAAGGTCTAAGGGAACATTATTTTCTCTCTGTCACTATTAAGTATTAACTATGTCTTATATAGCCTGCATCTCCAAAGTAATGTGTTCATTGTTGTTAGCTGAAGATGGCTCGACATTCTCTTTTTCGTCAGTAGACTTCATCTCTTGAATGGGAGGGGGGTTTACAATGGTCATTTCTGAAAAACTATTGTCCGAGAGCCTTCCCTCCATCTCCCTGTGCTCCTGACACAAGGCGCACCAGTGCAAGCAGCAGTGCACACAGCATGCATTACAAGGTGAATTCTGCAATCATAAGGTTCATGTATAAAAATCAAAGGAAAAAGTTAACAAAATCGTGTAAAAGTATTATGAACGGAATTTAACCCTTTTGTGACATTCTCTATTCAAATTACAACCATTGGCTGGGTTGGTAAGTTCCACCTAAAAATTGGGAGGAATTAAACCACTTTACTTTTTCTCCTAATACTCATGTGATAGGTGCAAAGTATTCACTATTCTTTAACAATGACTAATCTCTGCCAGAGAATTTGAACACATACAGGGCGGGTGGTCCTCTCCCAACTAAGTTTTTCTGTTAACATGAATAAGGATTCAAACCCTTAACAATGAATGAAACCTTTACCACAGCATTGATGGCCCAGAACTCTCTGAAGTTTAAGAATTTCATCTCAAAACAAGTAAAGAACTACCAGCCAATTACATCAGATAAGAACAAAGATGAAATGTAACACAAAGTTAGCACCAGTTTTGTAACATTGGAAAAAAGAAAATGAGAACACCAATCTATTTTCCAGGATTTCATAGCAAGTTGAGAACAGACCAGCAAGCCTACCATTGTTTCCTTTCCGGTTAAATAGTTCAAAAAATGCATGCATAGTTTTCTGATATATTAAAAAATGTAATGTCACCGCATAAACATACGTTTGGAGCAGAACAGGATCACGCAGGAAATTTAAAATTAAAAAAATGCAACTATTATATATTGACAGACTAAAGCAAGCAGAAGCATACTTGTCCGCAGAGGAAATGTGATTTCATCTTTAATGTCAACTACTTGTCCTAATGAAAGAGATTTAGAGCACATGTACCTTCAGGTGATATTTCTTCTGTAACGTTTGCCGAACTTGACCAGTGTGAATGCCACACATCCACCACGTAAAAAATAAACCCTCACAAATAAGGCATGTTGTCCCCGGGTCAATGCCAGAAATGAAGGAGGTTGCAATGACAGTGCCTAAAGCCAAGGAAATGCCACCTTCGACAAAAATGGCATGACAAATACATGGCCTTGTCCAAGAAGTGTTGTCGTCCCTCAAGCTCTCTACATTGCGTCCAAATAATACACAGGGACAGAAGAGTCCAGTCAAGCCTGCGATGAGAGATGAAAGAATATAAAAGGATGTATACCGTGAGTGCAATACGCAAATGAAGTAGAATTTGAGACTATTAACATACAACTTTGGCGGTCCTCTACACATCCAAAGATACCAGTCATCCAAGGTTCATCTGCAGGAGGTGCATAGCTTTCAGGTAATGGCTGTCTACATTCAGAGCACTTGCGAACAGCCAACTGCAAAGTTTCAAAGTTCATAATCAAAGATATATCTGCTTGCACAAAAACTCACTCAAAATCTAAAACATTATGATATTGATTTGACTAATTCTGATAAGAGTGAGATCGACAACTGTGTGAGAAGAGTCTTGAACATGAAAATTGCAAGTTAATAAGAAATGATAGATCTGGAAAAAGAGATGCGAAAAAGAAACCTGAGGAACCTCGATTGGTTGATTGAGTTCACCGGGGATGATATCTTCGGCGGTGGTTTGATTTTTAGATAACTTGACGTAACGCGATTGATTGCTTTCTTCCATCTAACAAACAAGGAATGGAAATGGTGAAGATACAGGGGGGTTTAAACTGTATTGATGCAAATACGAAATGGTATCGGAAGTTTAGGACAAGAGAAATCAAACTGTGAACGATTGAGAAATGAGAAAGAAAAGTAAAGAAATCCGGAACACAAACCAATGAAGGAAGGTGTGCAGGAAGAGTCAACTATAATGTCAATTACCCTTTTGCTTCTACTTACCTCTATTTACGTTTTATTTTATACACTTATTTACTTTTATATTATAAATAAATCTAAAAACTAATCACATAGTACTTTTGATTATATAAGTATTTAAATTTTAAATTAGTTAATGATTTTAAAATAAACAATAATTATTTTAAAATCAATTGTATTAAAATACATTAAAAAAAAGAAATATGTAAGTTGAAAAAATATTTTTTATTTTTTAAATTAAAATAATTATTAATTAAAATAAAATATTGATTTGGCTGATAGTGACTCAAAATAAAAAATTTATTTGATATAATATAAAATATATGTATATATATATAGATGTAAATTTAAAATGAAATATTTAATTGTAGAGTAAAAAATAATTATATAAACTCGATTGTATTAAATAATAATACAAAATAAAGAAAAATAAGTCGTGAGATGAAGAAAAAAAGAACTTTTTTTTTTAATATTTTGAAATAAATTTTTTTGTCTTTTAAATAAAAATTTGTTAATTATAATAAAATAGACATTGTGTTGATAATGATCAATAAAATAAAAATTTTATTAAAATATATTTTAATACACATGCAATATTTGAAATAATTTACTTAATTGTAAAATAAACAATAATTATATAAATTTAATCGTATTAAATTATCATACAAAAAATCGTGAGATGAAGAAAGAAAAAAAATTATATTTGAAAATAAGTATTTTGTCTCTCACATTAAGATAATGATTATTTAAAATAAAATAGATATTGTGTTGATAATAATGCATGAGATAAAATAAATTGTTAATTTTATTAAAATTAAAAAATAAATTATAGTATTTTTAGTGATAATAAATAAATAGAAAAAAATTAAAAGGACAGTGAGAAAGTGAGAAAAAGAAATAAGAGAGATTTGAAATTTTAATTAAGAGATAGAATAGGTGTATAGAATATTTAATTATAATTTAATTGATGAAAGTGTGTCAATGAAAAATTTAGATATATGATAGATTTTTTGAAATTGAACACATGACATGTTGTAATAAGAGATGAGTATGAAAAAATTAAACATTATTTAATTACTTAAATATTTTTTTTAGTGTAAATAATTTATATTTAAAAGATAATTTAAAAAGTTTATAAAATTAATTTTTAATATATAAATAGTTAATCAATAGTTTGTCTCATTAACACTCATCTCGTAAAAAAAATGATGACGACTAAAAAGAAGTTAGATGAGCTTAAGCATATATGTTATGTTAGGGGTGTTCAAATTAATAGATTATTTGAATTATTTGTATCTTTATTTGAAATTTGGTTATTAAAAATAGGTTAATTAATACTATGTTTTAAACTAAATATATATTACATATATTATTAATATAATTTTAAACAAATCCATATCTAAAATAAAAATTGAATGAGTCTATTTTTTAGAAAATATCTTAAATTAAATTTGTTATAAAAATAAGTTTTTAAAAAAAAGTTTTTTTTCAATTATTATATTTGCAAAAATAAGCTTTTTCATAAATGTTTTTCTTTTTGAAAATTAAAAAAAAAATAAAAAAACACAAAAATTTAATTTTTTACATTTTTTGGAAAATAATATATTTTTCAAATTTTTAAAATATATAATTGCTTTCTAAAAGTTTAAAAAAAACATTTAAAAAAATACAGTTTGTTTCCAAAAAACATGATTTTTTATAATATTTTCTTTAAATGTTTCTTTTTATATAAAATAATTTTCTAAAAAAAATTTTAAAACAAATTGTTTTAAAAAAAAATTAATTAATTATAAAATTAATTATGAATATAACCGGTAATAATTGATTTTTAAGCATTTTAAGAAACTAAAATATGATTATGACAATTGGTTTTAGTAACCAGTTATAATATTTGGGTTATATTTTTATATAGAAATTAACTGTCCGCGCATCCCTTATATGTAGGAGTGATAAAACGGGTCCGACTCGTTGGACATGCCTATTTTACCTGCACTTTAGTATGGGACGGATCAAGAATTTAGGTCCCCACCCTCTGATGTGATCGTTCTGCCCCGCCTTATTTTTCTTCGTGGGCTTTTGCGGGCATAAATTTTTACATTTTCAGACTTAAAAGGTGCAGTACCCGCAGACTTTTCTCGCCTAGCACTCACTTTTTTACAGGGCGGACATAAATTTTTACATTTTCAGACTTAAAAGGTGCAGTACCCGCAGATTTTTCTCGCCTAGCACTCACTTTTTTACAGGGCGGGCCTAGGTTTTAAGCTCTCATCCTCAACTATGCCCTCCCCGCCCTGCTCCGTTTGTTTACGGGCTTTTACGAGACGGGTCTAAACGGGGTGGGCATGCTCGTTTGCCACCCCTACACATATGTATGTTAGACTTGGAGTGAGCTCGTCATATTCCTTTGCATGATAAAGGATGACTCACCAAGAGTTTTAACTGTTGGAACAAAGGATTCAAGAAAGATGATTTTATGAAAACAAGAAGAAGAAGAAGAAGAAGAAGAGAGAGAAAATGATGAGTTAGTTATGTGTAACTAACTATCTAAAAGATTTGTTATTATTGTTACTCTTCTTATCTACAAATATAATGGCTCTTTATATAGGCAAAAATGATCAGGCCCAAATACATGCTAAAAGCCCAAATAATTACATAACAAAAATTAACCAACTAACACACCTCCTAATTCATGTTATCAAGACTTCTCATCCCAGTGCCTTTCTTTAACTCTTCGAATTTCATTTTCTTCAAAGGTTTGGTGAATATGTCAGCTAGTTGCACTTATGTCTTGCAATGTTTTATTTCAAGCTTCCCTTTGTTGACTTGATCCCTCAGAAAATGATGCATTTTTTCAACGTGCTTACTTCAACCATGATACATTGGGTGATTCGTAAGATTTATAGCTGACTTGTTATCAACAAACATCTTTATCTTCGACTCCATTATTCTGAGTTCCTCAAGTAGCATTTCGATTCATGTTGCCTGGCATGCAGCATATGATGCAGCCACATATTTTGCTTCACATGATGACAAAGCCATAATGCTTTGTTTCCTCGAACTCCAGGAGATTGGATCTCCTTCGATCATGAAAATATAGCCTGCAGTACTCATCTTTTTGTCTTGATCTCCACTGAAGTCTGAGTCAGTATATCCATGAACTTCGACGTATGTGCTATTCTTCGACTTCTTTGGTAACAACACCATGATTAATAGTTCCCTTTATGTATCTCAACACCCTCTTCACTGTGAAGAGATGACATTCCTGGGGCTTCTCCATAAATCTGCTCAACAATCCTACACTTTGACAGATATATGCTCTAGTATTGCAAAGATACCTCAAGGATCCAATAATTTGTTTGTAAATGGTCGAACTTACAAACTCATCATTCAATTCCTTCTTCAGCTTTGCTCTAGTCTCTAATGGAGTAACAGCTGCCTTACAGTTGCTCATATTGAACCTCTTCAATATATCTTAAGCATACTTCATTTGATGCAAGAAAACTCTTTCTTCTATGTTTTTGAATTCCATTCCCATAAAATAGGAGAGATTCCCTAAATCAGACATTTCAAATTTCTGCATTAACCTTGACTTTACCTTCATTATCTTAGCTTCGTCTGCTACTGTAATGAGTAAGTCATCAATATAGAGGCATAAAATGATTCGATTGACACTTTCAACATCATTTATATACACTCCATGTTCTGAGACACACTTTGTGAAACCTGTTTCGATTAGGGAGCTATCTATCCTTTTATTCCAAGCTCTAAGAGCTTGCTTCAAGCCATATAGAGCCTTCCTTAATCTGTAAACTTTCGACTCCTGCCCTTTGACGTCGAAACCTGGTGGTTGAGTAACGTAGACTTCTTTTTTTAATGGACCATTCAAAAATGTTGACTTTACATCAAGTTGGTGCATTTTCCGTCCTCTACATGTAGCTATCGAAACAATAATCCTGATTGTTTCGATCCTAGCAACAGGTGTATATACTTCATCGAAGTCAATACCAAGTTTTTGTAGAAAACCTTTGCCACTAGTCTTGCCTTATACTTTGAAATCACTCCATTTGGCCTTCGTTTCACCTTGTAGATCCATTTGACATCAATTGGTTTCTTCTTGTTCTTTCGACAAGCTCCCAAGTCTTGTTCTTATCAATGGCTCTAAGTTCTTCTTTCATGGCTTCACACCAATTCGAATTTCTCAAGGCTTCACCCAAATCAATTGGTTCTGCTTCATTCATCATCATGGCTTCTTCGATTAAGTCATCATCTGCATCGATTGCTTAATCTGGAAACCTCTCATATCCAATCAACCTTGTCGACTCAGTTCTTGTTCTTGTGGATCTTCTTTCATTTTGCATAGGTGGTTCTTCATTTCGACTTGTCGAAGATTCGTTCTGTTCATCTTCTTCAAACACAGTTGTGACTGTGTCTGATTCATGTATGTGATACGGTGGGAGAACTGACTTGAGGTTTTGCGTTTGATTGCAAATGTTGCGGTTTAGCAAGAGTCGCCACCGACTTTTCTTTTATCCAAAAGGAAAGGTGAAAAAGCACAGGAAAGACCTTTGAGATTTGTTTCTTGAGTTCGGGGGGTAGATTATGAAAAGGGAAGGTGTTAGCACCCTTTTTATCCATGGTTTTCCATGGGCTCTTAGTTACTTGCTAGATCACTTGCTTTTGTTTGAAATTATGCTTTGTGTAGTTTTTGAAAGTATTTTGTAAAAGAGGCCATCGTTTAGGCAATCTTTGTAATGATTCTCGTTCGTAAGAATATACACAAAGATGTTTGTCTTTTTGAAAATGTTT